CAGACGATAACAAGAAGCAAACAGAAGAACAAAGTAACCCACTTCTGGAAACCATCTTCCAGTTGGACAGACCCCTTCAGCAGTCACCGAGTGCAAAACAGACATTGCTTGAAAAGTTTAGCAGTAGTGACCTTCTGAGTAATTTAATGGCTTTGATACATGTGATTCAGAATAAAAGAAAATGAGAAGAAAATTAGAAATCCATTTTCAACAAATGACTCTTTTGTCCATTTCTTTTTAAGATAAATTGTTTGTAACCAGTATAAATCTAGCTGTTCCCCTATAGATAACACATCATATAATATCTTCCTGGCATATGTCTGCGGCTCCATCTTTCAGTTTGAATTGGGTCCATGCTGTGTTCACCTGGGAACAAATTCAAGGCCACCCTGAATGTAAGTTGAGCAAAGTGAGAATCAGAACAAACCCTGCTTGGAAAAGAGTGACTTGGAGAAACAGAGCAACACTTATAGTCAAGAAAAGGCAGTGATTAAATGCAGAGCTTACGTGTAGGGGATATTATCAGTTGTAATACATTAACAAAGTAAAAATCACATCAAGGTCATTGATTCATTGTAGAGTTGCCTTCTGTAGTGTTTTAGTTAGTGGAGTATTGTTTTTACTTCTATCCGGTACAACTCTGTTTTGTTCAAAGAGCCTTGTAGTACTGTTTCTGTTCCTACAGAGCAGGGTGAAGCCCTGTACAGTGATCCCTGTGCAGTGATTTTTAAAAATATTTATTTATTTATTTATTTATTTATTTTTACCAAGGGGTAAAATCTTTGGTTTCCTCAAAGCTGAGAACTGCCCCGTACTCAATGACCACCACCACAGTAATCAAGTGCTCTGAGATACTTACCCCAGCAAGAGGGGGAGAGCTCTTTAGGAAACCTGTCTTCCTCTGTACTGAGTGCAACAGAGCGATAATTCCTGAGAAAACTGTGTCCAGAACAGCTGGTGCTGAAGTGCTTAGCTCTAACAGCTTTTGAAATTTTGAATGGGTTTTTACAACCTTTGGGGGCACTTCTTGATCTCACGTACAGGACGAGTTCAGCAATCCATGAGTGAATTTTTACCTTCTTCATAACAAAGGAAAATAAATACATGCAAGTCCTGACTTTCTGTGCTTAGCTCCCATTAAAATGCAATTACTTCCTTTTTGTACCTTATTCATTAGTAGTGGCTTCACATCGTACGTGGCTTCTGTTCAATATAATTACTTTCCTTTACTGCAGGCGCAGTAAGAATGAAGCTTCGGAATAAAGACAGTTATTTAAGGAGAATTGCTGCTGTTTCAAATTCCTAATCAGATTAATTTGTTTGCTCAGTAAAGTCCTCACCTTAAATTTGCTGCATTTTTCTTGGTCTTCATGCAGAATTGGGCCCGTGACAATTTAGCTTTTAATCCTATGAACAGTTCTTAAAGATAAGGCTGTTCAGGTTGTTGAATGATTACAAAATCAAGTGTGTGTGCATCAACACAGCTGGCTCTTGCAGGACTATTTGTACTATGCTATGTGGGTGTTTTTTGTCTCACTAGAAGTGCTCTGAGTTCTGGAGGGAGCTAGATGTCTGTGCAGTGCTTGATTGCTGCTCTCTGCAGGAACAAAATATTCTGAATTTACTCTTCGCATTTGCCCAGGTCCAGGATTCTAGCCTCCAGCTGCACAAGAGCTCTCTCACTGTGAGATAAGAGAGAAGGGGGAGGGACAGCAGAAAGCACATGCTATAAAACAGACACAAAAATTAAGGATGGTTTTACCATTCTCATTAATATTCTGGACTATGCATAGCTCACTCTCCTAGTCCTTTTGTTTTGCTGCAAGGATATATAGGGGTAGTAAAGCTAAGTATTTCCTTGATGTGAAGGAAGCCTGGATGAGTTATAGCTAACTGCTGTGTGCTAAGCCATGCCAGAGGTGGAAGGATAGTTTGGCTGGGGCACTATCACATAATGCACTCAGAGCTACAGGTGAACATCTATCTGTCTCCTTCCTTTCACTGCACAGATGATGATCCTGCTTTCTGTCTTTCTCCCTCCTCTCATAAAGACACCTCCAGTAATTGTCTGACTCAATACTAAACATATCAAACCACCTACTTTTGAAGCAGGTAATGCAGTGTATAGATTCAGATTAAAATTAGAATTCAGATTAAAAATTTAGTATGGTCTGGTATGAACCTGGTTTTCATCAATTTCTATCACCTCATTGTAGTGACTGCATTTTCTTGGTAGCACCTGTCTGCAGTACATACATTTTCTGTATCTAATACACAACCAATGCTCAGGGTCATAGCTCTGTCTTTACAGATTTTGCTTTAACTAGGTGGGTGAGGTGAAGGAGGCTGCTGTTGACCCCAGGGTTCTTGCAGATGGTAGTGTTTTGCCCAAGGTAGACTTTGTTCACTGTGTTCCTTTTCTTTCTACCTTCTGGCACAACCCCAAAGATCATTGAAATCAAGCTGCTTTGTGGTATCAGTGAGATGTAGAAAGCGGCATAGTGGCTTTTCTAGCATAAAGTCTATTTTCAGTGTGCATTGCTTGAGGAGTTACTGCAGATTCTGACAGTGGGCAGTGATCACATTAAAAAACCTGGAAGGAAATGCCTGAGATGGTCTTGCATCCAATCTGTGCTAAGGTGAAGTTAATTTTGGTAATTTTCTTATATGGAGTAGGAATCTGAATGGGATTATTGGTGGTGGTGTATCGTGGGGATCTTTCCCCCCCTTAACTGGTAGATGCCTATAGCAGGAGTATGGTGCTGTTGAGCTCTGAGGTAACTAGCACTGAACAGTGAACTGTTCAGGGCTTTCAAGCGTGTTGTCAGGGCTGGCACTGCTGGCACAGTGACCCTTTCAGTATAGAGTGGCTGGCTAACCTGGAAAGAGAAATGCTGGCAAAGTGATCAGGGTGACGTAGATCACAGTGTGGCTTGTGAGAGGACTTTAAAGCACATAAAAGTTGAGGTTGCATTATAAGGTGAATAAACATGAGGACAGTGAAAGAGCAAGTGACACAAATGATAGCAAAGATCTGAGCAGTGAGAAAACATGAACAAAACGCATCTTAAAGCAACTTTCTGCAGTTAGCCATGGACATACTGTAGTCTATAACCTGAATACAGTCAAAGCAGGTAGAGGGTAGCTGTGAGCAGACTTGTGCAAGACAGTATGAACAGCAATATTTTGATGGGTCATTATATGGATATTGATGTCTAGGGTAGAGTTTTAAAAAGAGCCTAAGGACTGCAAAATATTTGAGCTGTTTTCTTTTTTATGTTGCCACAACTCTGAGGTTACATGTGATTTCATGGAGTAAGTGTGCTTTGCATCAGTACAGGGAAACTGTCTGAAAGATTATGCTCTGGCAGTGTGAGTACTATCAATGTAAGAGGAATGACCTCCTAGGTGGGAACATTTTGTTATCCCAAAGCATCAAGCAAAAACACTTCCCTATGTAGGTAGATGAATTTGGAAGTTTGTGTGATTTGCAGATTGATTATTGCAAGGTGGACAGCGAAGTTTAGCTTCTCCCTTTCACTGAGAAATAGACACAGACATCAGGCTGGGACCTTAAACCAAGTGCAAGGCATAGTCTTTGAGACGGCGATCTGATTTGATCACGTAATGACTGCTGAATAAAACCTTCTCCTGGTAATAAGTGACATCATCCCAAGAGTGAGCTGCACATATTGTTCTCTTTGGTAGTGTACTCTTATTAGTCAGCCCACATTCGTACATCTCTTTTCGTGAATGTAGGTGAATGTAGGATATCAACAGAGCTTCTTTGGCTTTAATAAAATAAATTAGTTTTACCAGAGTTGATGGCTATTTGACTGTCTGTCAATGTGCTATGGTGCTAACATGAACTGGGTAAGGAGAAATTAACCATATTCACAAAGAAGACCTCCTTAAAGACCAAGAGCTCACTTTTTCATTCAGGGTGATGGATGTTAATTTACCTCTTCACCTGAGATGAACTTTTTTTTTTCTTTTTTCCTCTGAGAAGGAAGGAATAAAGGCAGAATTCAAAGGAAGGAAGTGTCTATCAGTGAAACCCATGTTAAAGCAAACATGAGTCTACAACCTACTGTTTTATTTCCAGACAACTACTTCACAGAAAACCATTTTCCATCTTTTTGTAGTCTCTGTTTTTCTTTATTTCACAGTGATATTCAGAGGATTTATTCATTCTCTCGGAGTTGTTAACTGCCCTGTTACAAGATTGTATGTGGGACAAAAGTATCTAATTCCCTTCACTTTTTATTCATTTTTTATGCCTCTTTGTCAATTTCTTCTCCGTGTAGAGCACAGCATTACCCTTTATTATGGTGGATGTTACTGTAGATACAACATATACACTTTTACTTATATCTTCACATTGTTCCCTTACCCACCCCACATTAGTCAGAGCAGCAAGCTCTCCTATTGATAGTAATCAGCTTGACAGATCATGCCAAACCTCTGTTGCCTCTCAAATGTGCACAGGTGTTTATTCCAAACAAATAGGGAAGGGCTGGCAATGGAGAAGCTGAAGAAACAAGTGAGCTCTTACCATGCTCTGGAGTTGCATTCATATTCAGAGGAAGCCAAAGATGAACAATGAAATAGAAAGGAAGCGAGGGAGGGGTATGTGTGTGGGTAGTGTGTGCAGAGCTTTATTCCAGCTCTCTGCTGAGCCATGACCTGGTTTCTCCAGGAGCCACTTGCTGTTTTCTTGTTTTTGGAACAAGTTCCTGACATGGTGCTCTGCATGCCAAGCAGAGTTGTGCTCAGATAGGAAGGGTCTGAACTAGACGTGCACCCCATTTCCATCCTCCCTTGCTTCTCAATTGTTCATTTTATATTCATTTCATTCAGTTTCCCCTTTCTCTGCTCAGGAAACAAAATCTGTTCTTATGTGTATAGAGAAATAAAAGGGAGCTTTCAGGGATATTGGATGAAGTTTATTACGGGGACTTTTAGATGCTGACTGTTTGTGGTTATTGTTGTCTTGACAGAATCCAAGAAGAAGAAAAAGGAAGGCAAGAAGCAAGAGAAGATGCTGGATTAATGGAGCCGACTTGGGCAATGTGAGAAAGGGACATCAGCAAACACGATCGGTTAACAGTTTCATTTATACCTAGGCATTCTATCCTAAAATTATTTATAGCTTAATGGTACCATAGAAGGAAACAAGCAAACAGACAAAAAATATCCTTTTTTATTACTTCAGTATTTTTTAATGTATAACGCTAACAACAATTTCTAGAGGCCTGTGATAAAGGACTCCAAACTCATTTAGAGAAAATTCTGTCTACTGCATATTGAACAGTGTAGAGGTTTTTAAAATACTTTCTTTTCTCAAGTCTTGCTGTAGGTCTCAGTGTTGAAACTACTCCATGCAAGCAGAATCTGAACCTGTGTAGAGCCCTGCCTAACCCAGTGATACCTTGTGTGGATGCAGGAGTCTGGTTGGGTGCAGTTATATTTAAAATTAGGACCGTATATCTGAAACAACTAACACTGTTTCTTAAGTTGTTTTCACATCAGTATAACTGTATGAAGTTATTTGTTTAAGGAGAGCATGGGGGCATTTTGTTGAGCATTTGCAGGCAAAGAATTTTTTTGTGTGTGATGAATGTTTATTCTTAACTGTCATAGTCTGGGTAAAAAACAGTAGTGTTTGTTTCTTGGTTCCTGGCAGTAAAAACTGTAAAATCTTTCAGTGGTTTGATATATCATGGTCCTAAATTTTTAGGATTTTGTAGAAAAGATACTTTCTACAAAAATATCTAGGTGGCAGGATAGCAAAACTCTTTTTCCTCTTTTACCATATTGACACAGGTGAATGATAATGTCATCTGTTTTACCTGCAAAAGGACAAACATGCTTTATTTCTTCCTTCCCTTTTAATTTTTTTTTTTTTTTCCAAAATGAAGAATATCTTTTACATAAAAATTTAATTGCAATTGTTGCTATTCTGCCTGACCCAACTCTCTTCTGTATTAGTGGGAATCTTCCTGTTGATTTTAACTCTAGCTGGTTGAAAATAGAAATTATGTCTACTGAGAAGTAACAGAACAAATCAGCTTAGAAACTGTCTAAGATGGCTCATATTTCTGACCAGAAAAGGGACATTTTATGAGAATTGAAACAAATAAGAATGCAATTAATTTTTAGTTTTATTCATCTATAAGTAAATCAGAATGAAAATATCAAGATGGTACCTTTTGCTTTTTTCCATTTTTAAATAAGTAAGAACACCTAGGAAAATCTTAGCCATAAAGATAGATTTTTTCTTTTAATTTTTTTTTTTTTTAATTAACTCAAAAAGGAAAAGAAAGAAAATATAAAACCTGTTGTTTTCGTGTTTGTTTGATTTTAAATATTTTTAATGATTATGAGTCCTGAGAAAAGTCACAAAGGAGAAAAAAGATCTCACCAATGAGTTGGGGTATTGTCAGGTAAAAGATTGTTTTACAATCCAAAACACATTCAGACTAGATATATTAGAAGAAACCTATGGGATTTCAATGCTCAAATTCTTTTAAAAATCACCATTTGAAAATTGTAAACCTTACATTTCAAGAGCAAGAAGTAAGCTTCACCATTGGTGTAGGCCCCAGGCTTTGCCTGCTGGTCAACAGCAAGTCTCCTGTAGTTTCCCTTTTGCTCAAGCAGATATTCATTGATTTCAGTGAAACTGCATCAGGGTGCAATCATCTGGGTAAATCACAGTGCTCTTTTGGAATTAGCTTATAGAAATGCAGAGTCTTTTACTGGTTTATCTTCTCACTTCCCTTTTCTAAGCAGAAAATAAAAATTAAAAAAAAGCAGAGCTTGTCCTCTTTTATTCTCTCACATGGGGACTATAGCTGATCTGGACTCACAGTGAGGCAAGTCCTTCTGTAGACATTCCCAAACCCTTCTGAAGCCAGGCTGCACATAGCTCAGGATAGACTAGTTATAATTATTTCTCAGACTACTTGGGTGTATTTTGCAGTCTTTGTTGATGTCCTTGTTATTTTGACTATACTATTAGACATACCTGAGACAGTGATACAATTAATGTCCCAGATATGGTGGACGTGCAATGACCAAACCCAAAATGACAAGTTGCAATTCTTAAAGGCTTTTATTTGGGCGATGCTGGGTGCTATTTTTATTTTTTTTTCTTTTTTTGTTTTGTTTTGTTTTGTTTTGTTTTATGGTCTGATCAGGTCTGCCTTTGCTTATGCCTCAGACTTGAACTAATGAATTGGTAGATCTGATTGACGACAAAGGGAGGAAGAAGCTTTTTCACTCACCAAAGGTTTGTCTGTCTAAATCTACATCAGTTCACTTGAAGTAGTTCAGCTTTGAGCGTAAACACTGTTGCATCATTGTCTTACATGCGTTAATCTAGTCCACATTTCACAGGGAGCTGGCAGGACTTGGGATTGATGCTGAGACTTACAGTATGACTCTCCATTAGCAAACCTTAGATATGACTTCTGTTTTCTACTTTTGTGAGTAAAAAGAAAACAAATTCCCTGTACTTCCTCCATCGTCTTTTGTCCCTTACAATTAACTGCCCATCTGGATTGCAAAACAAACATTCCTGATAGTTTTTGAAAGAGGTCAGTCAAATTCCCATTGTTACAATGGTAGTGTAGGGCGTCCATGGAGAGTGTTTACAGAAATCAAGCAATCATACAAACAAAGCGTCACGCTAGGACCAGAAGGAAGTACAACAGTCCTGTGAGCAAAGGGCATGAAATAGGAAGACTTCCCCTGTACCTCTCAACCACATACATCTGGGTCTATATTTGCATCTTACTGTTAATGTATATATATCATACTTTACATAAATGGCAGCCTTTTTCTGGGAGTTCTGAGTGCTCAGAAAAGGGAGAGATGAGTTGCTGAACATCAGAAAAGGGAGATTCTGCATCCAGTCTCTGGATTTCAGCAAGTTTAAATTTAGGGTAGTTTGTGTATAGCTTCCACTACTACCTCTAAGTAAGCTGAGCCATGCTTCCAAGCAATTAGGCTGTCTGTATCTTGATTTAAATCAGTATTTGAGGATTGGGGCATTTTAGCACTTCAGCACGTCTCCTGGCAGAAGTGCTCCTATTGAAAGAGAATCATTGCTTGTCAGCTTGGCATATTTCACAGACTACTAAGTGCAGCAAGACTATAGCATAAGTTATGTTTTAAGGTAAGGCCCAAGGAGGGGAAAACATTTGCTGTACATTCAAGTAAATACTAATTTCTGGTTCTCATCTTCTAATCGTACTACTACTGGTACTATTTTGTCAAAGGGAGAAAAATAAGCAGATATACAGGAGTAATAATTATAAAACATATCAACAGACAATGTAGCATTGTTCACAGGGCCAATGTCAAGAAGAAAGTAATACTATCAGGAGCATTTTACGCAAACTTCTTTTTCTTGCTTCTTTGATTAGGGAAGGCAGGATTACTTGGTGTCACATTTGCTTTTTGGCTTTGCTTTATTATTGCCTTAATGAAAAGTAGGCGCTTATTGGATGTTATTGAAATTACGGAGGAGTCCCACTCCATTCTCAAAAGAAGGCATCCATCAGGGACAACCTGGCTTTCCCTCAGTCTAGGAGTCTGTTCTTTTTTCCTATGCATGAATATATTTTTTGTACTCAGATGCTATTGGAATTGCTCTGCAACAACATTAACAATGTAAACCTCCTGATTTTCCAAAGCTAAATATTGTTCAGATACACCATTCTGACATGACACAATAATCTTTTACGTCTCCCAAAATCTCATACTAAGGGGAAGCATATGAATGAGGACAGACATCTCTTATTAAATCTTTTAAAACTCTCTAGGAGAGCATCTTATGCAAAGTTCTGACTATATTCTCTCCTGTATGGGGACAGATTGCACATATTGCCTGTCCTCCACCGCTCATCCCTAATTTTGATAGTATTAGTAGGTTTTTCAACAATTTTGCTAAGGCAATCTACCTCCCGTCTAACAACTGCAGACATTTTTGATCCTTCCTATTACTAAGGGATATATCCTCCACAACCTGCTGACTTCTTGTAAAACAGTCCCAGCAAGCCTCTACCATCTGATATCTCTTACTGTGACCTTCTAACATTAAAAATAAATGAAACAGTGAACATGTGTTCATCAGAAGATGACAGTAAACAAAGTAATATAAGAATGAGGAAATCAGTTCTCTGTATCTGCGGGGAAGGAGGCTTTCTCTGTCATAGCTCAACCTGAGTGACGCTTCCTATGAAAAAGCATCACATATAATGAAGAGTAGAGAGCGTGATGAAAGAATGGCTACTCTCAAACAGAAGAGCCCCTTAGCTACATAAACAGAGCAAGAAGTTGGATAATTTCCCAATGCATTCTCTTATACCTTTAGATTAAAGGGAAGAAACATAGTGCATAGAGCTTCATGTATAGTGAGTACTGTCTGAGCAAATTAGAGTGTGGAAGGACCCTATTAAACTCCATGGATAATTGAATTTGAAGAAGGTCTGGATGGTATTTTTCATAGCAACAGAAATGTTCATGTACTTTTGGACTAAAACTAAACAATGAGGTTCCCCTTCTGCCACTTGTGGCCCCATCACTCTGACCTGAGCAGAAATGAGATATTTCAGGGAAAACATGAGAACTCAGCTATATTCTCTGTCATCACAATGGTAGGGCTGTGCTCATTTCTGCAGTTTTTCATTTAAATGTGGAGTATCTTGATGTCACAAGTTGCTAAAAAGTAAGTAATATATCTAAAATCACAATGAAACTGAAAGCGTGAGTCCAGTGTGTCATTTTTCTGATGAAACGAAACAGAGACTCTACAAGTGTTCCTATTTTGGAAAGTCATTCAAGGTTAAAGACCGTACGAAAAACTTTAGCATTGAATACTGTGATGTAAAGCTAGGAAAATGAATAGCCTCTGCAGGGCTGTTTTACCCTTAGCCAACTTCATTTAATTAATTACACTGTTTGAATTCCCTCAGCCTAATCTGCTTGGCAACCAGACACTATCTAACTTTTCTCAATGGGTGATTCATTACACTTCCTATATTATAATTATATAGCTCATCTAGGTTATTACAGCTGAAGAAAATGGCTCTGGTAGTCCAGAGACTGTGTTGACCACTGAATGGACTTGCAGCAGATGTAGGCTACTACTGCTGCCTCTTGCAGCTAGGAACCACTTCATCAGGATGTCAGTCAAACACAGCATCTTTAAATATACACTCGTACATATTGCATGTATACAAAGATCCATGTACGTTGAAGCAAAAGTAAAAAAAGAGCATCCATAACTCAAAATGTGACTCACAACTGGTGCTGCCATGTTTTAAAGCTAAAGCAAAAGTGAGAGAACTTTTGGCCTGTGTTCTGTTTTTTTTTTAAATAAAAGAGTAGTATATAGGCTGGAGAGTCAGGTTTCTTCTCTTCTCCAGCATAATATTTTAAGGATAGCTGTGCCCAAGGAAAATGCAAACACACACCAACAAAAGGGCCAATAGGACTTAGTATCAAAGTGATACTCTCTTCTGTCACAATAAGAACATGGAAGGTCTTTATTCAAAGCTTCAAAGTGGAAGAACTGATTAAGTGTGATCATAGAAACCTAAGAAGAAAAAGGCTTTTTCTCTGCAAAGAAAGAGTGAGGAAAAAATAAAGAAAAAATTAAAAAAAAACACACACAAAACAAAACAGAAATCCTCTTGATACCTGTGGTTTGGGTGCTAAGTAAAAGAAGAAATGAAAGTCAAAGTAACAAATTAAAGCCTGAGTATCATGTTCAATGGATTTCTAATTCTGTATATATCTATTAAACCAGTTCTATATATCTTCTCATGGGTTATGTTCTTCATGCTGTTCCTTTTTTTCTTTTATTTTTTCCAGTGTGTATATTGATTTTGTAAGCTAGTAGTATGTTACCTTTTCAATTTTTTTAAACTTGTATGAAAGCCATATATCCATATTATAGAATGAAAGCATTAATCCTGTAACATCCTTAATGTTTCCCTTAGCTCTGTGGGATTGTGGGAGGTTCTAGCGAATGTATATGTTTACCAATTGTATCAACATAATTTACTTGCTCTTAGTGGCGATAAAGAATCAAATAAACTAATACACTGAAACGTGGTGTCATCATTTGGTTGTTGCAACCGTCAAAGTCTTCAGAAATTTCTAAATTCCTAATATTATTAGTGGTGTGCCTCTGTTTTACTAAATTCCTGATGATATATAGTTCTAGCAGAAAACGACTCTTTGGTTTGGGAGTACTGAAAGCTTAAAGAATAATAGACTGAATAATAGACTAATAGACTGAATAAAATAAAACCTTTGGAAAGAAGACTGAGT